GCAACTAGCAGCCTTATAACTTGGGGGAAAAACTCAGAAGGAAACTCAGGACGGACCTGCCACATTTGGTTACTTGTGCCAGTTGTCTCTCACTTAAACAATGTGATCTTTTGGAGGAAGTAGAGTAATGGTATGAGAAGCCAGCAGTAGACTCTGGAGCTAGAGAGCTTTCAGTTCAAATCAAGGCTCTTTTTTTTGTTTTTGAGATAGGGTCTTGCTCTGTTGCCCCTACTTGAGTGCCTTGGTGTCATAGGTGTCATAGCTCACTACAACCTCAGTCTCCTGGCCTCAAGCAATCCTCCTGCCTCAGCCTCCCAAAGTGCTATGATTACAGTTTTGAAATGAGAACAGTGGTTTAAATATGATCTATAAGCTTCATTCTCCTCACAAAATAGGCATGTTAATACAAAATAGGCACATAAATAGGGTATTAATGCAGGCATTCCTGTAGCTCAATCTAGCTTCAAAGAATCATTTCTTTCTTTATAATTTATAATTTTGAGCTTATTTTACATATTTGGTTCTAGAAAGTGTTTTAAAAATATTTCTGCTATTAATAGATGATTCATGGTGGAAAATGATCAAGAAGGACGTGCTAGGCTGATCCCCTTTCACCCTGGCTTTGGTATGTCATTAAAATTTTTGTCGAAATCTACTATAATCTATTTCCTTATTGGACAGATTAGTTCTTGAAGTTAGAAAAGGAAGGGGAAGATGTTAGTACAAATAAAACCATACCCCAATTCATCTTTGTTTACATAATGTCTTCATTTACTCTGAATAGAAATCATGCTCATGTGATCCAGGATTATTGACTCCTGTTGCTGAATGTGGAATTAAATTCTAAACATTAAGATGTCTAGCAATCTGCGATCACTGTCTACTTCAGAGGACCCTTCTTCTATGACCATTCTTAAGGGGGTGATGATGGTATGGAGACAAAGTGACAAAGTTTCTGTTTGCAAATTCCTTTAATGTGCCCAAATAAAAGCAGACGCCATTGTCAATTTGGTTAGTTTCTGACAGTCTATACTTTGGAAACAGTAGACATCAGCCTTCAACTGATATAGCAGTGGTGTGAGGTAGAATGAGAAATTCTTTTGATCATTTTGAGAAAACTATTATGAGTTAGAATATATCCTTGTGAAGTAGCCACTTTTGTAATACCATTTTTAGCAACATCAACCATATGGTTATTCTAATAGATGATTATCCAGTGGTGTCATTAAACTTGCAAAGGCACATTTAAAAATATGATGGAGGCCAGGCATGGTGACTCTCGCCTGTGGTCCCAGCTACTTGGGAGGCTGAGGCAGGAGAATTGCTTGAGCCCAGGAGTTTGAGGTTGCAGTAAGCTATGATGATGCCACTGCACTCTAGCCCAGGCAACAGAGAGAGACTCCCTCTCGAAAAACATGCTATGGAGAGTATTTTTATCATTTATCCACATACCACACATAAGTAGATATATATGTATATGTGTATCCCGTTGCAAATATCACAGCAAAGTAAGCCCTCATTCCCTCAATAAAATCACTTCCCTATGGATAACTAAAATCACTTTATGCCATTCAATGCAAACCAGCACTTTATAGTCTCTTCCTCCTGCATAAACAATATTTTTTTTCCTTGAACCTATAAACAGATCATTAACAAAACCATTTATATCAAAGTTTGATATGTCCAAAATTGTTTGCAATTTTCTGGAAATTCTATTTACTGGTCTTTGCTTTCTACCTGCATTTTATGAACA